AGGATGCCCCAAAGCTGATACTGACACACTGGTGCATGAGGCTGGATTCTAGGATAGTTGGATGAGGGGTCCAAAGTGTCTCAGAGCTAGTATCAGCCAGCTGTTAGGCAGTGCCAGGGCCTGGGGCTTCCCAGGGCTATAGCTGGCTCACTGTTGGGCAGAGCCAGATCCAGGGGTCTCTGGTTGCAGAGCCCTGGAAGTCCCTGGGCTGATGTCAGCCCACTAGTTAGCAGGGTCAGTTCCTGACACTCTGGTTGTGGAATCTGGGGTGTCCTGAAACTAGTGTTGGCATGCTGGCAATGAGATTGCATCCTAGCATGGCTGGATGAGGGACCAAATTGTCCTAGACCTAGTATTGGCCTACTAGCAGGCGGGCCAGGGCCCACATTTCCCAGAGCTGGTGCTGGCCTGCTGGTGGGTAGGCTGGGTCCTGACACATCAGGCTGCAGGGCTGTGGTGGTCCTGGAGCTTGTGTCTTCCCTCCTGGTGAGCAGGACCAAGAGTGAGGCTGGGTTCTGGGACTAATGCCAGCTCTCTGGTGGGTAGATCCAGATTCTGGAGTCTCTGGCTGTAAGGTCCTGAGGATCCCAGAGTTGATGTGTCGGCCCACTAGTGGGCAGAGCTAGGGCCCAGTGCCTTGGGCTGTAGGGCCATATGGGTCCCAGAGCTAGTGCCAGAGCACTGGTATTCAGGGCCAGGTCCTGTGCCCTCTAGTAGGTAGGGCTGGTTCCTAGGGTGACTTTGGGTTTAGGGGATCTTAAGCAGCCAACATGCTGTTGGATGGGGCTATGTCTGCCAGGCTAGTTGCTTGGCATGGGGTGTCCCAGTACTGGTGCAAAGAGGCTGGTGGGTGGTCCAGGTCCTGGGGCTGATAAGCTAGAGGGAGGATTCCAAAATGGCAGTTGCCAGCACTAGTGTCCTCATGGTAGAACAAGCTCTGAAAAATGGCTGCTGCCAGTACCTGTGTCCCCCAGGTGAGCTCCAGTTGCTTCCTGCCTCTCTGGGAGGCTCTCCAAGATTAGCAGGTGGATCTGACCTAGGTTCCTTTCAAATTACTGCTTCTGCCCTGGGTCTCAGAGCATGTGAGAGCAGAGTATTTCCCACAACCCTCTGTCTCCTGAAAGTAAGCCCCACTGGCTTTCAAAGCCAAACATTCTGGGAGCTCATCTTCCTGGTACAGGACTCCTGGGCTGGGGAATCCAATGTAGGGCTCCAGCTACTCCTCCTTGGGGAGAACCTCTGCAATTGTAATTATCCTCCCATTTGTGGATCGCCCAACTGGAATATGGGTCTTTTTTTTCACATTTTTTATTGATTCATAATCATTTTACAGTGTTCTGTCAAATTCCAGT